CACTTTCCTTATCTAAAGAAAATAATTTTTGTTATCATAAAGCCATATTACTTTTTCTTTTTCACCTCCATGCCCTTGATTACTTTTCCTTCAGACCCTGGACCAGTGCTATAATGTAGCACCAAATATCCCTCGTAAAATAAGGGGCATGGTGGGAACATACAGCCATTCAAACTGTTTGCAGCACTACAAAGAGGGCTGGAAAATAGCACCTATTCCAAAAAGGAACTTCTCTACTTTGTAGTGCTATGTATAAACACCTGTACAGTTGTACATAGCCCTACCAGGGTCTCTAGGACATCCAGCATCCCACAGTCCTCTCTGCTCGTCCTCCCTGATTCCAAGGGGGAAGGAGAGCAGCTGGCTCCCTGATCCTCTTCTCAGCAGTGATTTGGATCAAACCAGTTTATGCAATGCCTGACCAACACCCCTTCCTGGTTTAAGTTAAACCAGAGTCCCCCAGCATCCCAGATGTTTTGCAGCTCTCGGCTAGGCTGTCTGCTCCAGAGAACAGGGCTGGCCCTGCCCCTCTGCTCCCTAGCCAGAGCTCCAGAGGGGACTGCAGGCACAGCAGGTTCTATCTGGCTTCCTCCTGCCCCACCCACTCTCACTGTTCAAGCAGAGATGCTCCCTCCCTCCCCCCTCCCACAGCGTGGACCCCAACCCCACAGACCCTAGCTGGCACATGGTATGCTAGCTAATGCTGAGAGGTGTCTGTGTGCGTGTCTCTCCAATTTCACTGGCACAGGCAGTGTCTGCTTAGGACTTTTTGGAGCTAATCAACAGGTCAGCTGGTAATGTCCCTCCCTTCCTTCCTTGGAAAAAGCTGTTTAAGAGCTTGAACTAATGAGAGAGGCTTTTGTTCTGTGGATGGGCTGATAAACACTGCGTTATCAGCCCCCTGCCGGTAGGGCAGTGCAAAGCTTCGGCAGCCGATTCGATTCAGAGATTTGGCCCAATTTGGTGGCCGAATCTCCGAATCTGAATCAAAATCAGGAGACTCATTAAAAAGTCCAAATCGAATTGGAAGCCTCCGAATCGATTTGGAGAGATTCAGAAGGCTTGCAGCAAGGCCTCATGCCCACACAAAGGGCTACCATCCCTGCTGTTTTTAGTCCACTCTGCCTTAACACACACGTGATATGAGTTTTGCTTTCAACAGTTTTGAGGTGCACTTTCACAGAAACCCTGGCACCTATCTCATTGAAACTTGGCAGGCTTCATGCCCTCAGAAGGAGCTACCATCCCTGCTGTTTTCATCCAGATCTGCATAAAAATTGATAAAGTTATAGGTATTTTAGTGATTCATAGTCTATGGCCAAATCTCCAAATCAAATCACTGTCCCTCCAAATCCAAAACTTGCTGCTTTGCACAGGCCTACCTGCTGGCTCCCTTGTCTGTCAGGTTTGCAGACAGAATAAAGAAGCAGGGAGAAGGAGATTGAAAAGGTCAGTATCATCAACAGATGCATGCATTGAACTTCCCCTCCCCCCCCACCATTTTTGCTTCAGAATGCTAGCCCGGGGCTGTGGTTCAGCAACACTCATACCCCTTGAACACCAAGCAGCAAAAAGCCTGAGCACGGTGAGCCTGAGCCACACCCCTCCCCCTGCCCTCAGCTCAGCACTGCAAAAGGAAAGGGAGTGCTGCTTTAACATCCCCCAGCTTCTAGCCTGAGCCACTGCAGGCGTTTTCCTGCATTTCCTCAGTCCAGAGGGTATGTCTGTACAGTTGTATACTGGTTCAACCTAGCCAGGGTAGACTACCCTGGAAAGACTGAATCAATTTAGGCTCAGGCTTTTTGAAGGTCTGTCCTTAGCCATCAACAACAAGGCCTACTGTTGGCTCATATTTAGCTTATTGTCCACTTTATGTATGTATCTAAATGTACTTAAACTTTCCAGCATGACTAAACTATAGCTAAAACTAACATTTATTTTAAAATTTTAGCCTTTCAAGGACTAACTAGGTTATTGCTTAATGAGATGTAAAACTAAACTGACAAAACATCAATAATTCCTAATCATTAATATTACTGGGTCCTAACTACATAACCAATTCCCTAAATGTCCACCCTCAGTTTGTTAGATAATGTCAGGACTCTTCTCTGAACCCTAATTTATCACTATTATTTTTGAACTACTGATACATTGGACACCATATTCCATTAGTAATCACATCACTGCCATATAATACAGTTTTAAAAAGTACTGTATGAACTGAAGTGGATCCAACATCCTGTGTTCATACTCACAATGACGAAAACCATGTACAAACACATGCATCTTCCAGCTGGTGTAATCAAGGTGGAAAGGTTAATTTGCTGCTTACTAGCACGGAACTTCTTTACTTGTGTGAGAGCTACTGACCCAGGTCAAGAGGAAATTAATTTCTCTGACATACACTCTTGGAGGAAGGGTAAAATGCATCAGCACCATGAAAACCTAGCCTATGTTATTTAATCCTCTTTTTTGAAAAAGTTCTGCTTATGTTGGGAGTGAGGGTGAAGAAAGCATGTGACTCATTAAGTATACTGTATACTGCACAGCTAGGGTGTCACTGAAACATGCAATAAACATGCAATAAATTAGGCAGGAAGTAAATGCTAGATGGGTTATTTCATACCAACATCTAAAAACAAAAACCTTCTAATTCCTAGTTTTTGGAAATGTCTCTTCCAAATCTACACTGAAAAAGTGCTATTAATCAATGATTCTTAGTTATGATTTTAGAAGAACTTGACTCCCTAGCACCCATCTAGAATGCAGTAAATACTTCCTGCTATTCTATTGACCAGTGAGGTCTTGAGTATTTTCACTACAGGAGATATTCCCACGTTATAGGATTTGTGCTAATCAGCCCAGGGCTGGGAATTCAATCCCTCAACTCGGGGTTAATTCTACTAGAGATCAAGATGCCTGCAAAGCTAAGCATTTCAGTACTCAGTCCCCCATGTAAATTCACTTCTAAAAGTCTAATCTGACTTTATGACCAAAGATATGGCAGAGACCAATTTAATTTCCTATTGAAGATAATTTTAAACATGACTGGCATCACTCTAGCAACATTAAGTTTTCATTTTAGAAGTTATTGCCCCTTCAGTCTATTTATTCGAAGCAGCCTGGGTTCAAGGAAGATGTGTGTAGAACTGTAATAAAGAAGTAATCAAATCACAAACTAGAATGAGAATTAATTTTCAATACTTCAGATTTGTCATTGTGCTCTTCAATCAAGCATGACCTGTGCTTTAGAGAGTCCCTGTAGGAATCTTTAGTTCTTCCTGTTTTAGGCCAAGCATCAAGATACTATGCTTTTACATTTCTGCCCAGCTCTGCCTCTTTTGCATGTTTCTTCTGTCAGTCACAAAGGCATTTTATTGCACTCCCTCACTATTCGCTCTCTTAGGCCCCTAGCACATTACACTTGAGAATATGTGATAAACCAGTTAATCACATACTGTTACTTGGCCACATGTGAAAACAATGAACTTATAAAATGAGGAATAAGCCATAAAGTTCTTACACATAAAATATGCATGGCAGGAGGTGTGACTGTGGAATTAACCATATCTCATCACACTCTACTGCCAGTGCCAGGGGGGAACTTGAGCTCCCCCCTGCAAGCTCCCACAGCTGGAAACCCAATGTCAATGGGTCTCCCAGCTGCAGGGGATCACCATGTGCATCCCCAGCTAGAAGTCCCATTAGCTGATCCAAGGTCCCAGAGAGCAGTCAGCTGATGGGGATTCCAGCTGCATGTGGCACGTGTGTGGAATGGCAGAAGCACAATGGTGGGAATCATGCATCAAACCCCATGGCATCTGTACATCTGCCTGGGGCCTCACTAAATCATGCCTATGCAGCTGTTCCCACATGCAGAATGAGTTCAGTGGCACTTGCAAGGGAGGCAGAAAGAAACCTAATTTTTCTTTCACTCCAGTATTACTACTGGGCAGGCACTGGGTGCAGAAGCAACAAAATAGAGGGGGAGAAACCTGGGTTGTTATTTCTAACCACTCTTTGGATTCATTTCCTTGTTAGGCCAACAGGAAGAATTAACATTCACTAACTTTCCAAAAAACCTCTGGTTAAATCTGAGGCTTGTCTGTACAGGAAGTTATTGCACAGTTAGGTAGGGTAGGTACTTACAGCACACAAGCTACTTTGACCACATGTAGGAAGATACTTCAGAGGTCACAAGGCACACCAACAGTGGGGGGAGTTAGTATGGACTAACCCCAGGCCAGATTTGGACCACAGAGACCCCGCTCCGGACTGGATCCATGCAGCCATATTTGAGTGGTAGTGTGGGTCCAGGGGCATGCGGCTACACAGACCTGTGTTTGTGCAGTACAGAACCAGGAGAACGCATCCAGGAACCACAGACAAGCAGTGGCACAGAGCTCAGGCCTGGCAGCAGGAAGGAAATGCAGTTGTGCAGCAGCAAGGATCCACATCCAGGCAGAGCTCCAAGCTGCCACATTACCCTAGCTCTGCACTGCATGAATGCAGCTCTGTGCCACATGCCCTCAGCTCCCTGCTGCTGCGTGCCCCTGACACTGTTGGCTGCCAGAGTCCTGCGCCATTGGATGGGCACAGAGCCAAAGCCATGAAGCAGCATGGAGTCATGTCCATGTAGCTGCACATCCCCAGCTCCATACTGCTGCCCAATGGCATGGAACTTTAGCTATGAGTTCAGTGGCGCTTGCAAGGGAGGCAGAAAGAAACCTAATTTTTCTTTCATTCCAGTATTACTACTGGGCAGGCACTGGGTGCAGAAGCAATGCCTTGCGTGTGCAGAAGTGCAGAGCCTATGGCATGCACCAGTAGCCCACTGGACTATTGGTGGGCTGCATACAATGGTTCCATGGGCCAGATCTGACCTGGAGGCCATGTTTGACCCTCCTGGATTAGCTAGTGTTTTGAAGTGACTCTAGTTACTTCACACTAATTTCTCTGTGTAGTCAAAGTTTATCAACTTTTTGATAGCAAACTCGTAATCCCTACCAGGGTCCCTTTATTACTTGCTTTAATAAGAACTCCTTGCACAATATTCTTAGGAGAAAGATCAACCAGGTTTCCTTTTAGGAAGTGGGATTGTTCTTAGCACCACACTTAATCATGTGGTAAGGAATACTTCTCACTTTGTTTTGGGAGTTTCATTATTTCTTCCTCTGCTGTCCAATCTCTTTTTGCCCCTACTTCTGGACCGAGAGAAACTTCGGCTTCTACTGTTACTGCGAGCACGGCTATGACTTCTGCTGTGACTACGGCCTCGCCTTTTCTTCCCCCTGCTGCGTGACCGCCTTCTTTCCCGGCTCCTTGATCTGCTGGACCGGTGCCTTTTCTTGCTTTTGCGACTACTCTTTTTCCTCCCTGACTCTCCATTTCTTCTGTACGAACAATCCGGGCTGGGGCTGCTCCGTCTCCTTGACTTGCTGTAATAGTCCTCACGTTGGCTAGTTCTGCTTCTCCTTTCAGAGTTTTTAGCCAACTGATTAGTCCGTTCTGGAGAAATATGTATGTCCCTGTTGGCTTCCCAGAACTCGTTGTTTGGATTTCTGAATACATGAAGAAAGTTGCAGTGTTTCCCTCTTGGACACTTTTGCCGTTCAAATAACCCTGCAGATTTATTATAAAATGGAGAATACTCATAATGGAATATGAAAGCAACAAAAACCTAAGTTTTAAAGGGGATGACTCAACTTTTTCATTAAACCCCTATTTCAGTGATTTGCTGCATTGAATCCATTTGCTTTTTCCAATAAAAAGGTGTATAAAGGGAACCCAAATTGATCTAACAACCATACTTCACACTTTAATCTTAGCAATGGCACTTGCCCATCTCTATCTTAGAGCTTCAGTCTTCAGACATTTATTCATCTATACTTTTGTCCGGTATAGCATTTCAGTGATTAGGATTCTAATTTGAAAGAAAAAGTTCAGAGCAAATAAACACTGATGAAAATGCCCTAGTCATGCAAATTGCTTATAAAAAGGTTTTTTTCCCCTATTAATTTTAAGTAAAGGTATGTTAATCTTCCTGTAGTAACCTAAATGACATCCTAAAATAGTTACCTCCCCTTTTTAAGGACATTCAGAAGTTAGAGTCCAGAGGTAAGCAACAAAGATTATCAAGGGTTTGCAAAGCAAGTCATACAAAGAGAGGCTGAAGGAGCTAGGCACATTTAGCCTGCAGAAAAAGTACCGTACTTAAAAAGGGACATGATAGCAGTCTTCAAATGCCTGAAGGGCTGCCATAAAGAGAAGAGCAAGCACCTTTTCTCTCTTACTGCAGAGGAGGATGTGGATCAATGGCTTGAACTTGCAGCAAAATTAATTTATGTTGGATATCAGGAAAAGCTTCTTCATGGTTAGAATAGTGAGGCAGTGGAATAGACTGCCTAGGGAAGTTGTGGACTCTCCATCACTGGAGGTGTTCAAGAAGAGGTTGGACAGGCACTGGTCAGAGAGGATATATATGTAGTTATGCATAAAGGATCTTGCCCCTCCACTAAGGGCCAGACCAATCATATTCTGAAGTCAGCAAGGAATTTTACCATGTGGTCAGACTGGTATGGACTATGGGGGCTTTTGCTTTCCTCTGTAGCAGGGGGCATGACCTAATTTCCTAATATCTTGAGCATAATTGACATTTTTTAATAGAAGCAGGATATTGGCTGCCATGGTTTCCCTGCTTTTACCTGTGGCAGGTTAGGGTGTTTGTGTTGTGTCAGGGTTGACAGTAAGGCTGTGCGAGGCTTCAGTCACCAATGCAGATGCAGCATGGCTCGGCAGGGCACCGCATGCTGTCTGGGACCTAAGGCGGCAGAGCCTGGCACCATTCTGCCCTAGTGGCCCCAGCTCCTAGACAGTGCACAGCGCCCTGCCGAGCTGTGCTGCACTTGTGCCATGGGGCAGCTGCAACATGGGTGTCAGGTGAGTGGGGGTGATCCCCGCTGCCCTGTGCTGTGCAGGGGGGCTCTGTCACAAGCCCTCAGAGGTCCTGATCGCCACTGTTACAGCTGGTGAATGCGAGCCTGTTTTTTGTTTTTTTGTTTTTGTTTTTTTTTAACAGTGCTGGGAGGCTGCGGCCAGGCAGGGCAGCCATGGGAGCTTCTCCTGCAATCCCCCCCACCCCACCCGGGGAAAAGTAGGCACAGCTGAAGGAGCCATGGAAGAACCTGCAGCTGCTCGGCTGTACCTGCCTCTCCCCAGGAGCTCCGAATCTCTGAATCAGTGCCAAAACGTTGTTGAAACTCCTAAACAGATTCAGCCAAATCAAAACGGAACAGTGATCCGAAACACCAAAATGAATCACTGTCCCTCTGAAACAGCCAAATCCAAAACCAAAATGAAACATAGCCATTTTGCACAGCCCTAGTTGACAGTATTATGTAGAGTTTAAATTATGGATTGTATGGGATGGTTTGGATAGGTTGGACTAGACATCAGGACTCCTTTTCAGTCCTACTTCTCTATGATTAAATCATAAAAAATTAGTGTTGGAAGGGACCTCAGGAGGTCATCTAGTCCAACCCACTGTTCAAAGCAGGACCATCCTCAACTAGTTCATCCTAGTCAAGGCTCTATCTAGCCAGGTCTTAAAAACCTCTAAGGTATGAGATTCCACAACCCCTTTAGGTACTCTGTTCCAGTGCTTTATTACTCTCCTAGTGAAAGTTTTCCTTAGTTATCCAACCTAAAGTTCCCTTGCTGCAACTTGAGACCATTGCTCCTTGTTCTGTCATCTGCCACCACTGAAAACAGTCTAGATTCATAGATTTAGGGTTGGAAGGGACCTTGTAGATCTTCTAGTCTGACCCCCTGCCCTGGGCAGGAGAGAAAACTGGGCTCAAATGACTCCAGCCAGGTAAACATCAAGCTTCCTCTTAAAGACCCCCAAGGTAGGAGCCAGCACCACTTCCCTTGGAAGTCTAGCTCCATCCTCTTTTGAACCCCCCTTCAGATAGTTGAAGGTTGCCATTAAATCCTCTCCTCCCCAGTCTTCTCTTCTCCAGACTAAATAAACCTAGTACCCTCAGCCTCGCTTCAGAAGTTATGTGCCCCAGCCATTTTCATTGCCATCCGCTGGATTCTCCAATTTGTCCAAATGTTTTCTGTAGTGGGGGGAGACCCAAAACTGGACACAGTATCCCAGATGTGGCATCACCAGTGCTGACTAGAAGGGAAGAATCATTTCACTCGATTTGCTGCCAACACTTATACTAATGCACTTTACTGCCCGAGCCCCCCAAGGTCTGGAACAGGCTGCCATTGGAGGTGGTTCAAGCACCGACACTGAACACCTTTAAGAGAAAAACTGGAGGCTCATTTTGCTGGGACCCAGCTGACTTCCTGCCCCTCAGGCTGGGGGCTGGACTCAATGATCTTCCTAGGTCCCTTCCAGCCCTAATGTCTACGAAATCTGTGAAATGCAGCTTGGTATGCTATTAGCCTTTTTGGCTAGGGATGGAAATTACACATAAACTTGTTTAAGTGATCAGAAACTGGTTTAATCCTGTAACAGAACAGATGTTCAGTGCACATAAAACAGTTTTAAAATGGCTGAGACTGGTTTTAGGATAAACCTGGTTGAATGTAGTATCAGAATTAACGGATTTGGATCAAACAGGTTTATGCAATGTCTGACCCAGACCCCTTCCTGGTTTAAGTTAAACCAGAGTCCTCCAGCATCCCAGATGCTTTGCAGACTTGGGCTGGGCTATCTGCCCCAGAGAACAGGGCTGGCCCTGCCCCTCTGTTCCCTAGCCAGAGCGCCAGCAAGGACTGCAGGCACAGCAGGTTCTGCCTGGCTTCCCTCTGTCCCACCCCCCTGTCAGTGCTCAAGCCCTCTCCCCTCTCCCACAGCACGGACCTCAGCCCCACAGATCCTACCTGGCATATGGTACGCTAGCTAATGTAGGGGTGTTTGTGTGTCTCCAATTTCACTGGCACAAGCAGTGTCCCCTTAGGGCTATGTGGAGCTAATCAACAGGTCAGCTGATAATGTTCCTCCCTTCCTTCCTTGGAAAAAGCTGTTTAAGAAGAGCTTGAACTAAAGAGAGGCTTTTGTTTTGTTGATGGGCTGATAAACACTGTGTTATCAGCCCCCTGCTGGCTCCCTCACCTGTCAGGTTTGCAGACAGTTTGAAAAAGTAGGGAGAGAGAGATTGAAAAGCTCAGTATCATCAACAGATGCATGCATGATACACCCCTCCTTTGCCTCAAAATGCTAACCCAGTGCTGGGGTCTGGCAACACTCCCACCCCTTGAGCAGTGAGCAGGGAAAAGTCTGAGCAGGATGGGGGTTTCCACGACTCCCTAATCAAAGCGTGCTGCCGGGGCCTGGCCACCATCCCCCCTCAGCTCAGCACTGTAAAGGGAAAGGATGGCTGCTCTAGTACCCCTGACTTCTAGCCTGAGCCACTGCAGGCATGTGCCAGCATTTCCTCAGTCCAGAGGCAACGTCTGTACAGTTGCATACCGGTTCAACCTAGCCAGCTTAGACTAACCTGCAAAGACTGAATCAATTCAGGCTCAGGCTTTTTGAAGGTCTGTCCCTGGCCATCAACAACAAAAGCATACTGTTGGCTCATATTCAGCTTATTGTCCACTTTATGTATCTATTTAAACTTTTCAGCAAGACTAAACTATAGTTAAAACTAACATTTATTTCAAAACTTTAGCCTTTCAAAGATCAACTAGGTTCTAGCTTAATGAGATGTAAAACTGACCAAACATCAATAATTCCTAATTATTAATGTTACTGGGTCCTAATTACATAGCCAATTTCCTAAATCCCCCCTACTCAGTTTGTTAGATAAGGTGTCAACTTATATCTTCAGCTCGTATTTCCTGATATTGTTTGCTTTGTCTGTCATCTTTTATCCCCAGAAGGTACTGTTATTCTAACATTAAATAGATACCCAGCAGATTTAAAAGCAATGCTTATTCTTTCAGTTCTGTAATAATCTTTTCAAGAATAAAAGACTTTCATAAGCAGTTATCCTAACATACCACAGATAGCAGTTTTCCACCTTGTCACTGGACAGAATTCACATTGAAGCTGTCGTCCTGCATACCAGCGTCCATTAAATGAAGTAAGGGCCTCCTGACAGTCTCTCTCTCTTTAAAGATAAAAAAGCCACAGTTTGCAACATTGAGACATCACACAATCCTTTAAACTTTTAAAGCTATATACCAATTTGGGGCTCTAACTGCAATAAGGGGATTAGTTACCTTGATTAAATATGGCCAAAGTGGGTATGTATCTATACAAGACGGTTACCGTGGAGTTACCGAATTAGCTCCACAGTAAAACATCACCATCTACATGCGCGGTGCTAAAGACCAGAGTAAACAAATTAACTCTGCCACAGATTGTACTGCCCAACACAAGCGCTATTCTACAGCAGTTACTTAAGTGCGCTGTAACACATGTGTAGACGGTGACTAGGGCTGGCTGGGGCACACAGGTGCTACAGTGCAGAGCTGCCTGCTTGCTAGCCCCACAATGTAAAACCCTCATGCCCCAGCCACCCCTCCTTACCATGCTGAGCCAGACAGGTGCAGCTCTGGGCTGGCCGGCTGACTTCCCAGACCCCCTGACAGCCATGTCTGTGCCTCCCTAACTCAACATGCTGCAGTCCCAGACACTTGTGTAAAAAATGCCGCACCTGAGAGCAACAAACTCTGATACAAACTGTGCCAGAGTTTAGTGTGTCACATTAATATTCACATACAGACATGCCCACTGACATTCAAATTTAACTGAAATGAAAGTATAAAGATTAAACCTTTTCAAACCCAGTAAGAGGACAAAGTTAAACATGGATTACTGTACTGCTTATGATCTAGAGTTTACTTGTCAAACTTCATAAAATTTCAAGACACTTACGACTGGTACTGAACATACACATTTCCCCTCAAGTGAGGCTCAAAGTTGCAACTGACCTAAAAAGAGAAGATGAAATATTAAAGTAGGGCCTTCAGACAGCTACAATACTTAAAGCATATTCAGCTGTATTCACCTCTATTCATTATATGTGAATGTACACATTTGAAAGCCAATTGCTTTCAAATACAGACCTAACAATACTCAATACTTAAATAAAGGCTTCTAAGAACTCTTGGTTTCTGTTGAACATTTAGAGTAGTCTGCTTAGGTAACGTTGCAGTTTCTTTCTTCCCCCAATACAAGGGTAAGCAACACCCAGCATGTGTGCCAGGATGTGGCATGCAAAGGCATTTTTCTTGGCACACATGCCTCAGGGTCGACAGTGGGAAACAGGCCAGGGCTGTGCTGCCACAACTAGGATTTGGCTCCTTGTGGCTCCCCTGCCATACACCCCTTGCACTCCAACATCTTACAAGTCGAGGTTGTGAGTGTTTTTGGCATCCTGCCCAAAAACATTGCTGATCCCTGCCTTAATGTCTAGCTGGTTTTAATTAAGCATATAAACATAGTCATAATGTCTCCATAGTCTGCTACTAAGGTTTTGTTTTAATTTCTGAAACAGCACTGTTGGTAGGCAACATTGCTATGTCACCACATAATTAATCCTGACAACATGTTGTTCTGTCCGGCTGGCCTCCAAGAATGCATCATTTCTACTAGAGGCATTCAATACCAGCTGCACTTTTAAATAGCTAATAGCAGTTATTAAAATTCAACACTGGAAGTGCTACTAGTACTACTTGTTCATCATCTGACACCAGTAGCACTGACAACAGAAACGGGAGAATGAATAATGAGAGAAAAACAAAGACAGCAATGAGTAACAGAACAGAAAAGGCTGGCTCTAAATGATTCTTTGTTAGACAAATGGTATGAAATTCCAGAAAATTTTGCTGTGGAAACAAGAAGAGCCGACTCACCTGAAGTGTATGAACTCAGGAAGCACAGTCCTTTAAGAAATACTGTCCACTTTGAAGTGATTGCTAAACACGAATTGCAGATTTTGGAAGAGAATGCTCAAGCTATGTCTACACAGTGAGCCACTTTAAAACCTAACAGCACCAAGACAGCTGTGTCCCACATACAGATGTAGCTTTGCTAACATAAATTTTTCCGTTTACATACCACTCCCCAAATAACAGTAGCTCTGCAGGCAAAACCTGCCTTCTGCCATCAAAGCTGTGTCCACATTTGGGAATTTGCTGTCAGAACTATGCTGCATAGGGAGGAGGGATCTCTTTACAACCTTAACTGACATGGCTACACTGGAAAAGCTCTGTAGTGTAAACAAAGCCTTATCTAAGAAGAAATAAAGATACTTTACAACAGGGATGGTTAACCCACTATATAAAAAGCATAAAATTCAAATCACCATTGCCGCTAACCTAAACATTGCAGCTAAGAGTAATCAGTATTTTTGTCAACACAAAAGTCTATGTTATTTGTTAAGGTCTCATAGAAGAACTCATGGAAGGACAAGGATACAATTTAGTTTCTCCAATGCCACAACTGTTGCTTTAATGGTGAGCAAGCTCCTCCCTCCAGCAAGCCTCAGCTTCTCTATGTGCCTTCCCATTTCTACAACAAATGAAGCAGGGGTCCTCCCTACTGGACAGGCTTGCTTCACTAACCAAACCTCATTTATCCCCAAAGCAGGATGAGTCTAGGCAATGAATGAGGTAGGGCTACCATGGTAAAAATTATATGTTATCATTTACTTTAGCAATATAAAGCTTGATGAGGGAAGAGAGCTATGTAAAGCAAAAGAACACACAAGTGTTGGCCCAAGAACAAGTGGACATGAACTGGCCATATATCAATTTAAGTAGGAAGCAAGAAGGAAGTTACCAGCTATCGGAGAAGTGTGCTTCTGGAATAGCCTTACACACAGTAATAAGAATAAGAAGCCTGACTGCTTCTCAAAACTGGATCACCTTATGAAAATCATGATACAGTTGCCTGTGATAACAGGGGACAGGATTCACTAACCCAGAAGGCCCCTTCCATGTTTAGATAGAAACAAGGTAACAAACCTGTATTGCACAAACTACTCTAATTCTTGTACAGGCACACCTCGTTTTATTGCGCTTCGCTTTATTGCACTTCGCAGATACTGTGTTTTTTACAAATTTAAGGTTTGTGGCAACTCTGCGTCGAGCAAGTCTATCGGCGCCA